TCAGCCGCCTGGCCAGCAAGGGCGCCGAGAGCCACCCCCCGCCCGTGAGTGACACCCTGTCACACTGTCACATTGTCACCCTGTCACACTGTCACTGTGTCACACTGTCACCCTGTCACACTGTCACCCTGTCACCCTGTCACACTGTCACCCTGTCACACTGCCACCTCGGCATCCTCAGCCGCCTGGCCAGCAAGAGCGCCGAGAGCCACCCCCCGCCCGTGATTGACACTGTCACCCTGTCACACTGTCACACTGTCACCCTGTCACACTGTCACCCTGTCACACTGTCACCCTGACACCCTGTCACACTGTCACCCTGTCACACTGTCACCCTGTCACATTGTCACCCTGACACCCTGTCACACTGTCACCCTGTCACACTGTCACATTGTCACACTGTCACCCTGTCACACTGACACCCTGTCACACTGTCACACTGCCACCTCGGCATCCTCAGCCGCCTGGCCAGCAAGGGCGCCGAGAGCCACCCCCCGCCCGTGAGTGACACTGTCACCCTGTCACATTGTCACACTGTCACACTGTCACCCCATCGTGGGGACATTGGTATTGTCCCCCTGTCACCCAGCCCCAGGGACATTGTCCACGCCTTGGGGACAGCCCTGACCCTGGGGACAGCCTGTCCTGAGGACACCCCTGGCTGTGGGGGTGGCAGCAGGAGGTGACCCCAGGAGGTGACAGTGACGGGGTGACCCTGGGAGGTGACAGTGGGGAGGTGGCACTAGGAGGTGACGGGGAGGGTGACACCATGGGGTGACCCCGGGAGGTGACAGTGGGGTGGTGGCTCTAGGAGGTGACGGGGAGGGTGACACCATGGGGTGACCCCGGGAGGTGACAGTGGGGAGGTGGCTCTAGGAGGTGATGGGGAGGGTGACACCATGGGGTGACCCCGGGAGCTGACAGCATGGGGGTGGCACCAGGAGGTAACACTGGGAGGTGACCCCAGGTGACCCTGGAGGTGACAGTGGGAGGTGACACCATGGGGTGACCCTGGGCAGTGACCCCAGAACTGACCCCTGTCCTGTCCCCGTCCCCGTCCCTGTGTCCCTGTCACTGTCCTGTCCCCATCCCTGTCCCTGTCCCCTGTCCCTCTGTCCCTGTCCCTCTGTCCCCGTCCCTGTGTCCCTGTCCCCTGTCCCTCTGTCCCTGTCCCCTGTCCCTGTCCCTGTCCCTGTGTCCCTGTCCCTGTCCCCATCCCTGTCCCTGTCCCCTGTCCCTCTGTCCCTGTCCCTCTGTCCCTGTCCCTGTGTCCCTGTCCCT